CATTTCAAAAAAAAAACTGGGATATCTACGAGGATATCTATAATCAATACGATTTCATTACATCTTGATTAAACTCTACTTTTCACAAAGCAATATTTGTTTACATTGCTATATTGCATGTTTCTTAATATAGCACACGTATCAAAGCCACGCTTTAATAACGTAAAAATAGTAAACAGGGATCGTAAAATTGTAACGCAAAAATTAGAGAACAACCTATCTAAACAATATTTTCAACAAAAATAAAGTAGAATAGTTGAAGCATAAATAATACTTGATAAAAATCTAGAACATAAGAGAAAAGACAATAAAGAAAATTGAGTCTTGTTTATTTCGTAAATGCTCAAACATGAATATAGAGGTCGGTGTAGTCTTGAAACTTTTTATTAAATAAAATATGTAATTAAAAATAATCGTCCAGTTGAATTGCACTGCTTTCCTATATGGTCGATTATTCCATAACTGGTGCAAGTAAACCTGTTCATGCGTAAATTAAAAAAAGCAGATCACTTTTCAGTAAATTTTAATTTATTCAAATAGCCGTATCAAGAATTCGTTGAGCATTATTAGAAATGTTCTTTCAATTCCTTATTAATATTAATAAAAATCTCATCTGTCTTTTATCTCGTGACTAATATTTTATGAAGAGGTCAGGCTATGCCATCAATATTTACAAAATAAACATGTTATATATTTCAGTTTTGACAATTTCAAAACTAAAAATTATTAGCAAATAGTAAAATGAAATAAATATTTGAATGTTTCGAAACTTCTGTATAATATCTAAAATATTGATGAACCGAAACGAGAATTCATGAGCTGTTTTATGTCAACAATTGACACGAGGCCCACACTCATTATTAAAAATTTTCCGACACCCAATTCCACTTAATTTTAATACACACCGGCTTGTATTTTTTTCGATAGATAGGACTCCTCTTTAACAAGACACAACATTGACATTTTCCATACACACGAGTTTGAAAGCTTTCGATGAGTAACTAATCACGACCACAACATCGTACTTGGGCTTGAGAGTATTACGTAAAGACCTCACATACCGTCATCGATTCAGTTTTAATATCAACAGTCTTTGTGATAAGATAGCAGTGACGTTGAGTGATCCGCATATTAGCATGCAGAAACGAAAAAAATATTTACGGGGTAAATACCAAAAAATTTATGCTCTCTTTTTTTGGCCCCTTACCTAGTTGTATAGAACCCATAATTTGACTAGTCTGGATTTTTTTGTAGGTGATTTCGCCACCAACACCGACCCTCCGATGGCCGATTTTTCTTTCCCTTTCCTTCTCCCTCTCGGCTTTCGTTTTGGCCACATTTGAGAACTGTTTTTGACCAGCCTATGCAAAAAAATTAAACACATGTAAAAAAGAATTCCAATTGAGGTTCATTTTGAAAAAGAGTTTAGGATGACTAATTATAAAAATCAAGACAAAACACAGAATTATGTGTTATAAAGATAACAAAACTATTTTATCTGCTTGCACTTTTATTTAATTTCCTACACAACGTTCCATTAGGTTAAATTCATACATATTTCAGTAGAAAATCATCTAACCACAATTAAATTTATTTACGCAAAAATACACAACTAAGCACTTAACTTTCCTCAAAGACGTCCGCTGGTTTATGCTCGTTTTCAAGGTAAGTAAAAATTTTGAAAAAAAAAAGATGATTAACAAAATTTTCGTCCATACAATTCATACAATAAATTAAATTATTAATTTAAAATCAATAAGCATGAATTTTGAACGAAAAAATACTTTGAATCAAACTTACCAATTATCGACTTTACTCGAACGTTAACTGGAGTGTTCTGGTTTGTTACAGTGTTAGAATAAAAAAAACCTATGGTCAAATCAAAGTTTTATTATCGTTGGCAGTCATAACAATTAATTAAAAATATTGTAGATGCACAACATATGGTACAACTATCATGACCTATTGCAGGACATTTTTAAAATAATCTGCTATCGTACAATCTTAGTAAATTTAAAGTAAAAAAAGTTATAAAAGTCATAATAAATAAAACAACATGAATAATAATAAAAAAATATTGTATCACACTTGTGGCACAGCCTATTGGTGAAATTGTTTTTAAACTAAGACATTCTTCTTCTTAATATTCTTTGATTAATTTTTTGAGATATGACAAGATTTGCCATACTTAACGAATTTATCAAAATTTATGACTTTATAGTATCTAAAAGCATTACTGCATTAGCTTTCGCCTTTACTCATACTTTTTTTTAATAAAAACTCAAATTTTTGTTTATAATAAAAATGACGTTTAACTAAAAAAGTTTTTTTAATGACATAAAGGTCTGGCATTTAAATTGTTCACTTGATTATAGTTTTAGTCCCTTTTTTGGTCCCAGTTTAGTTTTAGTTTTTTTAGTCCCATTTAGTCCTTTTTCCAAAAAATTGTGATGTTATGCCTGACAAGCTTTGCAAGTGATTTTATCAACATAAAAAGACATAGCAAGTGGAATCCTTTCGTGCTCGGCAAAGATTACTGTTGTAGCATGGTCAGGAAGACTCCAATAAAAATTATATTATAATTGGTAAATCAAGAGGAAGCGTTGGATACTCTTTATTTCTTTTCGACCTTTACTTTAACTTATCCTGTGTTGTTTATTGTAAATAATATAATGTATGAAATTACAAAACACAGATGAAACAACAGAGAAGAAGAAAAGAAATATCAAATTCACATTTACTTAATTCTGAGCTTCAAAAAACCCGCCTAAAAATATTTAAATAATAACTAAAAACTAAGGCAATAATTTTAAATTCATATACATATTTCTTTGACCTTTCGAACACACTACATGTATTTATTATTTTAACTATTAAACTGATATGTAGCCATGATAACAAAATCTCTCCTGAATGTTTTTTTTTATCAAAAATCGACAACAATACTAGCTAGCATTTATTTGTTCAATTCTATCTGACTCTAGAATATGTTGAATTGAAAACTATTTAATTTACTAATCAAATCATTTTCTCTCCAATGACAAACCGCAACTTAAATTAGTCCTTATCAAAAAACCAAACAACTGATAAAATTGTTCGTCAGAGAATGTTAAATAAAGATTTTACTTTCGTCCAATAAAGCAAATATTCATTATTGATTTACATTTACAAGCATATGGACTTATAATAATAGACATAATAGTATGTGAAAGTAAAATATTACAATGGCCTCCAAACTGGGCAATCAAAAAATTGTGCGAAAATTCCTTGTCACTTTCTAATTCCAGGCCGGTACAAAATAAATTGATAAAATACGTGTTTGTAAATTTCTAATTCGAAAAATAACAAAAATATTAAAGTAATCAAGTGCTTGATGTGTATTTTTAACTCTTGAAATTAGAATTCCCGTCACGATCTTATTTGCGCGAATTTGTTACTTATGTCCATGGAATCTTAATTTCAACCGGCATTCAATGTAACTTCCGAAAACCTTGTTTAGGAGTCACTTCAAACAATGATTGTTTCATCAGAAACAATACGACTTTGCCACTTAAGACTTGTTTAGAAATATCTAAATTAATAAAATAATCATCAAATTTTTGCAAAAGAAATCTTTCCCACAATGTCCCGACCAAAATTCCCACTCAGCAAACAGACAATTACATTTTTTAATACTATAATAGGTAAACAGTTTACGTCATAATGTACTTTTAATTTCGCCTAGCAATTATTTAAAGGTGACACCTTTTTTTTAATCATATCTTTTATCAATTATTAAATCTCAAGTGCAAATTTAAATTCAAAGTTTTCAAGCTTTAATAGTAAAACCTAATTTTGTGTTTTTAAACATACCTCCTTCCTGTAGTTAAAATTTTTGAGTGGCAATTTATTTGCAATGATTAAAATGCTCGTAACGATCTATTTTGAGATTTATTTAATTTCTGATTCAAATTAACACAGGTTGGAAAAAAGGAAATGAGAACCAATTCGGCACATCCAATTAATTTTCTACTTACATCCTGCAGATTTCTGTGTATTGAGGAGTCCTTATCTGTAAAAAAAAATAAAAGTAAGTTTCTCTTGAGGAACAAGATCTGATTTTCCAAAGCAAAAGATGATTCCCAAGAAAATTAAAAATAACCAATGTCAATTCAAGTACTAGTCTGCAACACGATTAATTCTTATTATTATGAAGACAACAATCCGATTTCGTGCTAAATAGTGAATCATGACCCAAAAACTTGACGTGGCTAGTACGCTCAAGAAAAGACAATTTTCCAAAGAATCAATAAAACCACAATACCTTCACTTTCATCCAGGGAATCGTGTAATCCTCCAGAATCTTTCGCATTGTTCATATTTATTGTTAAAGAAGGTTCAACAACTTCGATAGTTTCTATTGTATCACCTGAAGCCATTTTGCTCACTTATTTAAACTGACCCGATTCTATTTTCACTTAATATTTACAAAACAACGACACATCACTAATAAATTATACGAAATTATTAAACTTTTAGCAAACATTTTGAGAATGAAACCAGTTGCCATTTACAACTTTGACATAAACATATTCCAGTGACATGATTGACATATTTATCCCCACCCTACCACTATGAGCTGTCTTGTAACCCAACCAATCAAGTGCTCAAATTCGGAGCATGTGATCGTAATACAGATATCTGTAAAGGTGGAATCAACACAAATAAATAAAACACTTGTTAGTTTTTAAAGTGCTTTATTGAATTTGAAAAGTACAAATTCACTGTAACAATAAGACAAGAGTTACAAAATTAGCTAAGCTACATACAAGTAACACTTACATTAGGCCTTTAGGTTCTAAGCAAAAGAATCCTTAAATAATTTGTACTTTAAAATACTTATCATGAAAACAATAAAAATAGTAAAAAGTCAAAAAAAAACACTCCACAATAAACTGATTGTACTTGCAAATGGCGTAATAAATTTCACTTTTGTGTATATTATGATAAAATGGAAGGCAAATGTGCAGTCTTAGTAAAAATTTGAATTGAAAATTGTACGGCTTATCGTAAAAATACGCTAATAAAATGACTGTAGCCGAATAGTCATACAGATTAAAATGAATCTTATTAACACCAAGATTAATATTTAGAATTGGAACATGACACAATGTACATTACATTACATGTATATATAAAAGTTTTAGTAAATCTTATATAAATTTGTGGACATGTAACATTAAACTACATAATGAAAATTCACCAACAATGTCTTTCCTAAAGAAAAATATCACATTTTAAGTGAAATGTAAGCATAAGAAATATGTGGATGGCAAGATTAAAAATTTACAAATGAGCACATTTGACATCAAAGCTAATAAAATCAGTACTTCAAACGCTTAAAAATCCGTAATAAGACATCAAAACCCCAATCAACATTCAGAAATACGGTAACAAGATTTAATAGCTGAGTAGAGTAAAAGTTTGAGAGAAATATATCAAGACATACATAGAAGAAAGATTTTCGATGACAGATATTTATTATGCTCTCTTACTATAGTTAAGAGCACAAATCAAAATTGACTTAGTTTGTTCACTCTTTCGTCGTTAGAATAACTATGTTGCAGGCTTGTAAAAGCGTTGCACAAATTGAGTCAAATTCAAAACCTGACCGGGGCCTTTGCTTGAATCCATTTGAATGTAATCTTCCAGATTATGAGCACTTGCTAAAAGAAAAAAAAAAATGGTACTCTAAACGAAAAGTAGCACAATTACTTACCAGCGGTCTGAATCGCCGGATAATTAGGTGGTGGCTTTATCCACGTACCATCCGGCCTCTTCATGTGTCTTCTATCAGACGAAAAATCTCTCAAAAATTCCGTTGCTGGAATCACTCTAAAATATCTAAAATAATCCGGCTTCAAAATGTGGTCTGTACGAAATGTCTCCGTCACGTATTTGTGAACATAAGTAGGAAAAGGTAATTCAGAATCTAAATCGTAAACCAAGCATTTTTCCGGCTCAGGATGATACAAAAAAATCACATGGTAGTCCTGAAAAAATCTATTATTTCAACGTTATCACTGAGCAAAATACGAACCCAAATAACTAATCTATCCTCGTCTTTTCCGGCCCGTTGTCTCCACAAAGGTACCGTCCGACTTGGATTTGAGACAAAAACTACATAACATTTATTTAATTCAGTCGAGTGTCTCGAAGATACATCTTGACACAACTTGTAAACATTCTCTTCACTGGAACAGAAATTATAAAATGATATTCGGAAAATCGTCACATAAATACCATTCTACTAAAAAAGTGGCTACTTTTTCCATGCTCTAGGAAGGGTAACCAAAGCTGTGTGAATAACAACAAATTCAAAGGTGTGCGCATGAATATGATGTGCATGAGACTATTACACTCGTAATGAAATTTTTCAGATAGATTATTGGACATTAATTGAGTAAAAACAAAACAAAAACAGAAAATGAGCAAAAGGAGACGTTTAAGCGTGTTTTGTTTAGACACCAAACAAAAACTATGAGTAATTTTAATAATATCAAAAATCAAAACAGGAAAAATACAAAGACCGGTAAACTATTTCACTCTGATTGGAAATTGTAGCATTATGTTGTATTCATAAAATATTGAAAAACCATGGCATGTCCAAGCACTATAAAGCGACAATTAGATTATAATTTATAGCACAAAGTAAATCGATCCTTTTTGCATAATTTAAATAAATACATAACAATATGTAAAAACAATGTGTTTTTTCACGAATTGGCGTAAACACAAGAAGGTTGAATTTCAATCACCTATTTCTTTTACTAATTAAAAAATTAACACGACCAACCCGAAGGAGTGTCTACAACGTCCTGATTTTGTTAATTTTTTCTATGTACTTTGTCCGAATTTAATATCATACACGCTCTAGGGGGAATATGAAATAATTGATATGCGTAAGTCACGCCAACGGGAACTGCTAAATAGAGATTTTTTCCTGAGGTAGGTAATTCTTTTCTAGGTCAATCCCCCCAATTTCCAAAAAATCAATACCTGGCATCGATTTTTTTTGTAACCAACTAAACAGTCACCGAAGTAAAAGGATAATGAATAAAATAATAAAAATAAATCTTACGTAAGGCGCTTTGTAATAATAGCCCATCACGCTGCGGCACTATTAAATATCAAAACAAAAAACCTAACCTCTACACGTCAAAAATCCAAAACGTCAATATTTTGATTTTTTCAAAAATGTCACTAATGACCCACAAATGAACAACTTACCAGTAACAGGACACGTGCGAGCATTCAGAGTGCTTGGGGAATAAATTAATTGGGTTTTTCTTGTTGTTTTCTGAATTAGGTCGTTGTATAATTTGATTTTTAGAATCAGACGCCATGTTAATGTTTCATGAATTAGTTTTTTTTAAACCAAAAAAACACTTGGGAGTCTAGACTAGTTTTACTTTCACCCAAAATATTTTTGTTGATATTGAAAGAAATACCGCACTGCACTATTTCAACATATTTGACAACTACGACCTTGAAGGTCAAACAAGGGCACCAACGCAAGCGCAGTGTTTAGTGTCTAAAGTTACATTTTTTGAAATTTTATTCAAGTAAACTTTCGATGGCCTGTTTCTAGAAGTAGAACTTCCAATTTCATATTAATTTGGTCGCTAATCTTGTACTGATACGTCCACAATGCCGCTAGAAACAATGCTTCATCCTTGTTTTTCGAATGTGCGATATTTTCCAAAACAAATTCCTTTACCTGAAATTTGTTAATTAGTGACTATAAATATGAAAATTAAAAACTCACCTTAAATTCGTCTTCATAAGCTTTTGATATACTTTCCACTAAATTTGCCAAAGAATTCAAATTAAGTGAAATAAATAAAGGACTTTCATTTTGTTGCAGCTTCTCTGTAGCTCTCATTTGACTTGAGAACATAATTAAAACATCTTTATAATGCCTTAAAGACTGCACTAAACTGTACAAATCAGTAGTGAGTTGTTCCAAATTTGAGGAAAATTCTTTGGGATTATCAGCCTTTAGAGAAGCTATTTCTTTAACAATAGTGGACCCTTTTATATGAAGATCATTCCATTCTTGGATATTATTATAAACATCAGCCACCAAATCTCTAACAACTCGGGGAAGTCCAGTTAAATTTTTTTGGGGAGACACCTGAGCTGGACTTTCATGCACTAAAATAAAACAATTCATTTACACAAAATTTCCTATAGTCACATACCTACAAATAACAGACGAAAATCCACAAATTGAAGAATTACTGGGTCTTTTAGGAGTCTTGTCACTCATGTTTGAAACATAACCTCACAAAATTAAGACGGAATGTTGTGACTTTAATCACTTCCTTTTGGCAGCCCCCTTTTATTTCAAACTAAAAAATGTCTGTTTTCTGGACATACCGTTTAAAAAATTCCATTGGAAGAAGAATAAAATTATTTGCATTGAGCAGTGGCAGGAAAAATGTTCGCCGATTGTCACAAAAAGGTAAAGTTTGGCCAGTTTAGGTTATGTCAGTGCTTTCAAAAGGTTCCGGTTTCAGTGAAAGAAACAGAAAGTGATAATGCGTTCATTCCCTTTATGGATGTTTTAAAATTTCGGCGGAATGAGGCTAGAAGGAGTATTTTAGTGCAAGTCCAGTCAGCACAGTCTTTTAAAGAATTGCATTCTTATTGTAATTCCGTGGGAAATATAAAGCAAATGTTACACTACACAGTTGGGGTTGAACCATTGGTAGTGAAATGTTTTTTTTATATAAACAAAATTGTTTACTTTTTGCCGTTTTAGAATTTTATTGTAGTGGAGTTTGCGTCAGAAGAAGATGTAACAAATGTTCTTGAAAGGAGTTCCTATGTGGAAGACACTCAAGTCGTCCCTGTTCAGTCACAATTTCTGTGGTTTAGGGCTTCGAATAGGAAACTCCCGAAATTAAAGCAAAGCAAAAGTGCCATTTTAAATACTGAAAATGGTAATCAGTGTATGAAATCACCTGAAATAATGAATTTGTTACGCAACTGTGATTCAGTACGAGTTATGTAATGTCAAGATTAAATAATATAGACGCGTTTTCAGGTGTCGGAGCAAATGAATGTTCTTTATAATTCAACTAAATTAAACGATCTTGGAACAAGATTAAGATTTCTAACAGCGAGGCAAGTCGAAAATGCCGTCAGAGGAATGTTTCCTAAAGCCAGAGCGTATCCTTTTGGGTCCTCAGTCAACGGATATGGAAAAATGGGTTGCGATCTAGACCTTGTCTTAAGATTATGTGACGATAAGGTAATTTGATAATTAATTAAGTTCTTGATTCAATTTTGTTAATTTTAGATCAAAAATGATGCCAGACTGATGTTTCACTGCAAGGGTTTAGTGGGGTCTGAGAGAACCGCTTCACAGAGAAATATGGAAGCGATTGGCGACTTACTGCAATTATTTCTACCAGGTTGTTCACAAGTTCGCCGAATCCTGCAAGCTAGGGTTCCTATAATAAAATATTATCAGCAACTCACAGATGTTGAATGTGATCTATCAATGTCTAACATGTAACATTTGACTCAACATTATCGCAATTTTCTTGATTTGTTTTTTCAGGTCTGGAGTCCACATGTCCGATTTTCTGTACATTATGGGATCCTTAGACCCCAGAATTCGCCCTTTAATTTTCACCATTCGTAAGTGGGCGTCTGAAGTAGGTTTAACAAATTCAAGTCCTGGCCGATGGATCACGAACTTCTCCCTCACACTGCTCGTACTTGCATTTTTGCAAAAACCAATAAATTCGAAACCAATTCTTCCATCATTAAACACTCTAGTGAAGTTGGCTGAACCTAATGACTTTTACGTGACTGAAGACGGCATAAATTGTACTTTTCTCAGAGATATCACCAAGCTGAAAATACCAAACGGAAACAATGAAAGTTTAGAGTCACTTCTGATAGAGTTTTTTGAATTTTATTCGCAATTTGATTTTGCGTCTAAGGCTGTGTGTTTGAATGAATCGGTTGCGATTACGAAACCGGAACACTGCGCTTTGTATATTGTGAATCCTCTTGAACGAGGATTGAATGTTAGTAAAAATGTCAGTATTGAAGAACTAGACAGGTTTCGAGTTGAAGCAAGAAACGCAGCTTGGGTTCTAGAGTCGCAGGAAAACAAAAGTGAAAATTGGGGCATTTTGTCGATTTTTGAAAACAAAAAGAAGTCCAATAGTGTACTAAATTTTGCGTTTTCTAGTAAACATGGACGATTGGTGGAGGTTAGTACTTTATTTGAGGAAAATACAGACAAACCTATTCAGTATAAAAACGCCTCTGTAAAGAAACAAATAGAGAATATAAAAAATGACACAAAAGATAAACTGAAAGAAATACAAAAAATAAACAGGTAACAGACTTTATAACAACTGTATTTTTAAGTAATATGTATAGCAAGCATATACATTTTGTAATTAAAATCTTTGAAATACTTCTAATATTTTAATTACATCATCTAATGGCTTTCCCCTTTTTTGCCCGCAACTCTCTTAAAGTCGCCCATATTTGTGGTACTGATTGGCGATCCTATTATTGCTAAATGATCAATCTGGGTTACTTCACCACCTGACTGATTATCCTTGATGAAAAACTGTACATTCTGAACGTTTTGGAACTTAACATAGCGGAGATTAACGGGGTTACCTTCCAAATCTTCTGGTGTTAATCTTTAAAAACAATTATTTAGAACACACCTTTAATTATTTAAAGAACACTTACTCTAAATCTTGAACACTTGTGTAACCGTCAGCAAGATCAAAGTCGAGAGTTCTTGGCTGATTTATAAATATTCTAACATTTTTAGGGCCTTTGTCTGCAGGGGCCTTAATTTTTAAACTGTGAATTTTCACAGCTTGGTTAAAAGCAATGGAAATGATCAACTACAATGAACAGTAAGATTTTTTTTAAAATTAAATCAACACGAAATTATTACCTGTTCATCACAATCCGACTGGAGATAACCCCCACCAGAATTTAAGCAATGCTCTAGTGAGTGTTCGTCACTCTCATTTAAACACTCGCATTGGGCCTTCATAATAAACGGCTGCAAGTCCATCTAAAATCAAAATAATTAACGAAATGTTACTTTTGCCAGGAAGTAATTTACGTGTCCAGCAACGGCTTCAACTTCTTCTCCTTCATCTGATCCATAGTATTGTTGAATTTTGTTTTCTAATGCTGTCGGATCGGCCCCTCTCAGCGTATCCACTTTCGTCTGCAAAATACTTGTGATTTGTCACATTTTTGACCAAATAAAGCAAATCCATACCTTGTTGCGATAGAAAATAAACGTAGGCATCGCTGAGACCCCTTGCATCGCAGCAGTTTCTTGGCATTTGTCCACGTCAATTTTTAGGAAAACAGCTTTGACATATTTCGTCGACAATTGTTGAAATATCGGTGCTATCCTTTGGCAGGGGCCACACCTAGCGATTATTTCTTTAGTTTTGGTCAAAAACATTTTTAGGTTAGCTTACCAACTGGCAGTGAAATCGGCCACTACAAGTCTTGTGGCGGCGTTTGCTAGTTCCGTTTGGAAATGGCTTTCATCGTTTATCACTTTGATTGTGCCCATTGTCGTATTTTACTGCCTGTTGCACAAAATTTCGATAAAATGTAATGACTGGCACTTATTTTTTGAGGTAAGGTAAATGACATTTCATTTGACACATGGATGGTTGACACTTCGGTCTGATTCGGGAAAGTTCGAGATTTTTCGGAGATTTAAATTTTCTGGCGGGTAGCAAATCCCAAAAAAACAAAAATAAAAAAAATTGGAAACAGGAAGAAAAATTTTAATAGTAATAATTATCATTATTATTGTTATTAACTCTGATTAACGCTTTATTTTCTACAAATTAAATTTATTAATGGATCAACAAGAAAAAATTCATATACATACATCAGGTGACCTTTAAATAGAAACTTAAAATCATTTATAAAGGAAATTAATAGATGCTAATTTAGTGCCTAATCGCTAATCTAATGCCAACTATACAGGCTGTCCCAAAAATAAGTTACAACACAAACTTGTGTTGTATTAAATGAAACATCATAATTATACAGGTTGTTCCGTCTAAACCCCACATTAGAAATATTGGGAGTTGGAATAATCGTATTTATTTGAAAATTGGTACATAGCCATAAACCATTAAGTTCTCCTAAATAAAAATATTTTCAAGATGGCGGCATTTCCGGTTATACCGGAAATCGGTCTCAACTTTCTTATTTTAAATGGAAAGGTATATTTTTTACTGCGTTTTTGGATTAATCGGGTTATTTTAAGGGAGTTTTCATTAGCTTTCTCTATACCTAAATTTATCCGTTTATGAAATATTTGGAGTTTTTCAAAAAATTTTGGATCTGCACCTTCCACTTTAAAAATCGGTAACTCAGCCATTTTCTAGGATTTGACGTTGAAAGAGAAAGCCTTAGATCCTTTTTCAGGTGTTTTCAAATTTTGAAAAAAAATAACATATCCCAAAATTTTAAGGTTACTTTTGTAATAATTCAAATATTCATAACTCAATTTTTTAAATGAAATATCCTAATTTTTATTTTACTGATTAGAAGAGAATTTAATTGTGCATTGATCTGTATTAATATTCCCTATACCTAAATTTAATAATTTTCAAGTTATGGACTTTTTTTAAGACTACAGAAAATTCATTACTAGCCACACCCGTTTTCACATAGTTTGCTAGAAATCAAAAATATCAAAATTGTTTCTCAATAAACGTCGACAGTGACTTATTATTTGACAAACAGTGCCAAAATATGGAGAATCAAAGTTATGCAAACTTAATTATTATTGATAGGTTCTACCATGCGATCATTATTTAAAGCTAACAAGTGAGAAAAATTAAAAAAAATAAAATTTTATAGTTTGTTTTTTTTTCAAAATTTGAAAACACCAGAAGAAAGATCTAAACATTCTCTTTCAAACGCCAAAAAACGAATTCAAAATTTTAAAAAATAGCAGAGGTACCGATTTTTAAAGTGGGAGAGGTAAAGATCCAAATTTTTTTGAAAAACTTGGGTATAGGGAAAGCTGATGAAAACTCTCTTTAAATAACCCGATTAATCCAAAAACGCAGTATAAAATATAGCTTTCCATTTAAAATAAGAAAGTTGAGACCTACTTCCGGTATAACCGGAAGTACCGCAATCTTGAAAATATTTTCATTTAGGAGGACTTAATGCATTATGGCTATGTACCAATTTTCAAACAAATATGATTATTCGAACTCCCAATACTTTTAATGTGGGGTTTAGACGGAACAGCCTGTATGTATGTATGTTTCTTGGTATATTTGAAAATAGCTTTTGATTTCAATGTTTTCAGTTTCCTAAATAGTTTGATTTTTTTTTGAAGAAAATGTACTTTTTTTAATTTATCATACATAAACTAAGACAAGTACAACATTTTTTTATTAGGTATTTTTATAAGGCTTCAACATTTTTCTGTGTATTTCATTTGTAAAGATTAAAAAATGAAGAAGTTTGTTAATAATTACATATCTTGAAAAATTTTAATGACACTCCATTTTTTTGTTTTTTTTTTTGTTCATCTAAGACAACAACAAATGTCGATCTAAAAACATAAACTTTTAATTATCTAGAATTAATAAGTAAAAAGATACTTAACAATGTTTTTTGAGCTAAAAGATTATTTCATTCCATTTTTCATGTTAGTGTGCTCTAGAGATGAGTGTGATGCAGTCAGTGAAGTGCTAAATTTCCATTCCACGGTATATGTAGAAGTATATGTGTAAATATGAGAATCTTATTGAATGCAGAATATTATCTATTTATAACATTGTAAAATACATAATAAAGGTTTTATTGATGTAAAAAAATACAATATGTGAATTAAATATTATTATCTTTGTTATAACAGCAATACAAAATGAATAAAAGCTTTTTTTAGAACAACAATCACAACGATTTGAAAGCCTATTAACAATAATACAAAACATTGATTAAAGTCAAAATTTGCTTATAATGAATACATTCTACTAAAACCAACATTGTACACATTTTTAACTTTAACTTTACAATTCCTAAAATAGTTATTGTCTTTACACAACAGTTGATAGAATCGTTTAACAAATAAAAATATGTAACATAAAACTAGTCTACAAACTGATTTTGTACAATTGCAGCCTAAATTCCTTATTTATCATCCTAGTCGAGAGAACCTAGAATAAGTTAAATGAAAATTATTGACCATAAGTAGGAAGAAGTTTGGTAAAAGTACAAAACGATTATATTTACATCAGAAAGAGCACAGCTAGATCTCATAGTGTAATAACAATGATATGCTTATTCTAGATCTATCGGATACTTTTCGAACTGAACCAAATACAAAATCACTATGTACATGATTTGGAAGACTCATCGATTTTGTTATTTTTGTTTTATTTACATGATTTAGAATTCACCAGGTACATCTATTTGCTCAGGCTGCAACTAATATGTACTACATTTAGAATAGACGAAGGAACCGTTAGTCCAGTTTAAGTCCCATCGGCAGGAGGTCGCAGTAGCAGGCAGAGCCGCCGTCGCCCTCCTGGCACATACTGAGGCACCAGGAGTTCCAGTTGTAGACCGTGGGAGTAGCCTTGGTGGAGATGCCGGTCATGTTCTTGTAGGCGTCGCACGTGTTACATCCGTAGATCTGGTACTTGTAGGCGAGACAGAAGTGCGAGCAGATCTGCACGAAGTCGATCCGGAAAAAAGGCCTCGTCTCCGGAGCGTAGGTGCAGTTGCACAGGGGGTAGCCGAGTCGGTTCGCGCACAGCACGGGACAGGCGTCTTTGCGCGTGTAGTCGACCTGCAGCTCCTCGGAGGACTGAGACGCTTGTGACGGCAAGCCTTCGGGAATCACGTCCAGGCAGTCGGCGCCACAAGGCTCGCCCCCCAACCCCGCCATGCACAATTCGGCGCAGATACGGCGCTCCTGCTGCTGCGTTATCATTGGACGCGAGTGCGGGGAGCCGTCGTAGTAACTGATGTGTCTTGAGCTGGCCACGCCCAACAGGAACAGGACCACTATTGATATCCTGCAAAGTTGGAAGTTTATCAACGAATTTTTTATGGTGGAGGCGACAGGATAGCGAAGAGGCGAGAGAAAGGAAACTGTGAAAATAGAAAATATACGTACTTTGTACACTAAATATCTTTTCTTTCTACAATTTATTGTAAGTATAATAAAATAAGTTACAAATATGTATACGAATTTAGACTAAATAATCCTAATGTCAAGAAGAAGTGGGCAGTTTTTTTTTATATAGGTACAAAAAATCTATTAGACATTAGCAAAAAAATTGTCTAAGTTTAGAGACAAAAACAAAAAATGAGAACAAATTCGGTACCGTTAACTAAACTTGTAGACAAAAATTGTGAAAGCCAAGTTATAAAAAGATAATTATTGTTAAGATGTAATTTGTTATGCATGTTAGACAATCATTTTTTAATTTTCAGCAAGAAATTGACGAGAATACAAATAACGTAATCACGAATAACAATTATAACAAGTAAATAATGCTGTTTCTAACAGTAGCAAAATTTAAAATGACAACATTTCAACATGAAAACTATATTTTTTATTGAAATTTTTAGGAACAAATTTAAAAAAAAATGTGGTAATGGGGACCAAATTTTTAACTTGGTAATTTCCATTTAAATAAACAACAGACTTTATATCCGAAAATGCTTTTTAAGAGAGAGTTTTTTTAAAATAGGTAATCTTAATAACCGATTGTGATAATTTTATAAAAATTTGTGTATGTTTTTTGCGCTAAATCTACTAGTGCTATCAAAATTTATGTACCTTAATTAGGGGACTGTGTGATCACCCTATATAAGACGCAGAAGATTTTCGAAAACATCGCATGTACTGTATGTAAGAGTTGAGAGATAAGAGTACTCTTCGTGTTGTTGTCCTAACATGTAGAAACTACATGATTTCTTTCAAATGATGTCGAGTAAGACCTTTAATTCCCTTAGGAAGCATTTTCAGACACAGGTGTATAGAATTTATTTCCTGCATTCATCTAATGAATTACCTCCTAAAATCTATTAACGTTTTTTCCAGACATTTTGTATACAGGGTGTTTGAGGATTGCGAGCAAATATTTTAACCACTAATAGAACTCGTTAAAAGAAGCAACTTTCGTTATTCCAACTTTTGTCGAAAGCACGTCATTTTTGAGTTAAAATTAAAAATAAATTGAGACTGAAAACTCGTCCCCGCCTATGTCTTAATACGATGTTTACGTTCATTTATAAGAAAAAACATTGGAACGTAAACAGCGTAAAGACAAAAAAATTATCGCTACATTAGGGTAGATCAGTGTCAATGTTAGTGGGTCAATTCTTGCTATTATAAAAAATTGCTCGAAATGTGGTCATTCGTTGGCAATGCACAACACTTCTTGTACTTTTCGGGCTAGGGAAGCTTGCATCTTATGAAACACAACACGACCTGATAAAATGCTCTACGATGAACTTAGAAATCATCCTGTACCTAATACTAAACGTATTCTGCAGTGTGTCCCCGGATAGCTTGATTTAAATTTTTATTTTTAAGGATTGTACCCAGCTTGGTTGAAAACATAATTTTAGTTTTGAAAAATGAAGTATGCCTTCAAAATTTGCAATAAACCTACTTTTCTGTATAGTAAAGTGCTTTTTATGTGGCAAATACGACAAAAAGTTATTTAAAAAAGTTGTTTAGAATCAACATCTAGACCCGTATACCAAATTTTAAAACAGTTTTTATTACGAATAAAAAAAATACATTTAAATTATTAGTAGGTACTAAATAACTTTTTGACGTAGATATCTTTAATAAAAAGCAATTATCTTATAAATTATTTTGGCCGACGATTTTGAATTTCGGTATATGGGCCTACATGGTGATTCTAGACAACTTTTCTTAATAACTTTTTGTCGTACCTATTTGACAGACACACAAAAGACACTTCATTCTACGGAAAAATAGGTTTTTTAAAAATTTCCAAAATGTACTTACTTGATTTTTTAAAACTACATTTATGTTAGAAACCAGGTTTATTATATTAACCAAGCAAGGCTGAACCCCAAAAAATTTAAATCAAGAATATTTTATCTTTTATAAGAGTCGTTTCACCTATCCGGAGACACACTGTATATTAAAAAATAAACTACATGTTTGAAAAACATTTTTGTTTCTTTTAAAAATTGCAACTATACAATTTTAGTGACTAAACTGTATGTACATAAGTACTCACTTACATTCTATTATTTAGCTACGTACCTAGAAAATTAATTTGACTTTATGTATACTCTTTATGTCGGTACACAAGTAAAGCAGCAGTGCTGAAACAAATTCTTCACTGCTTTAATTTAATTGTAAATTTTGTAAATGGCACTGTTACGAGACATTCACATTATAGACATAGACAAAGCGAATTTCCTGTTGAATAAAGCACGTGAAAACAACCAACTAACAAGTGTTTTGGAATTTTTGCGTTAAAACTAAACTAAAAAATGTTCGAGTGTTGGTGCATTATTGGTACACTTTGGGCGCTTGGCTCGGTTAAATGTGCACCCATGCGGAAAATGGTAGCGGGTCTGGCGGTGACATTCGATGTTCAATTGTTTGCGGGTGGAGCGTTTGTTGGCGTCGCGACGCTGCCTCTGACTGGGATTTATGACGTTTGAAGGGGACATGATATATTTGCCAGGATGATGACACTTATTAAATCGTTTGCTCTACGAATGCCTCTAAGCCTTGTGTTCCTGTTAGTGTTATAGCCGACATAATTTCAGGCACATGGCCAGAATACCATTTGCTTTAGTTATTAAAACAATTTGTCAAAAATATTTTAAGCAGTGGAGTGATATTTAAAACTACCTTAACTGGAATAGTACCTAATAAATGAAGAAGTATACCATAGCAACAAGGAGAATTATACAGATATGCTAATAAAATATGTTCTCATTTTTGTTTTTTACCTGTTTACGGAAATGTATGCAAAACTTAAATGTGATTTGTTAAACTTTTTTATAGAAATAATGATACTCGTATTAATTCCAATTTATATCCAGCTCTTATAGCTGTAAGAAAATTTTACATGTATATACTAACATGCTTTTCGAATAGGTATAACAGTGTACAGTCGTCTCGTGAATAATAATCATTAAAATATTTTTGCTGTTTAGGTATTTTTTATTTTGTAGTACAATAGAATAAAAACTATATAGGGTGCGCCAGAACTTGCGCCCCAGAGAAAATTGACAAGTGCCAGCGGCAATAGTTCGCCAAAAAGTGCAGCCGAAAAAGTAATTTTTGCTTGCATAAGAAAGTTATTAGACTTTTAAATCCACCAATCCCAGAAGGGCACCTCAAATTGTGATTGAAAAATGATATGGTTGCTAGGTTACAAAAATAATACCAATTTGAACAGAACTTAAGAAAAATAGCTGGTCTACTGTAATTTTGACACCTGTCATGTGGGTGACATAACCAGTGCTATAGTTTCCAGTATTTTTCTCGCTCAAGAGGTTTTACACTGGTATAATGAGACAAAATGGTTAATTATTATTAACAAATATCAAAAATTAATTTGAAAACTCGATTGCCAGACATTCTGGAACTTTCCGATGAACCGACTTCTCTAAAACTTCTTCATAGGTCCCCTCTCAACTTTTCCTTCGATCTGATACAGATTAACAAGTCGATGTATGAATTTCATAGCTTGAAAACTTATGCATTATCCTTTTGAAGTAAAGAAACAAGTGAGAGTGAGAGACCAGAAAAACATGAAGAAGTACGCAAGATTCTTTATTTACTTTAATGCAAAATTAACAGAAAAATGTGCTTTTTAGAAAGGGAGTCACGTAATGTTGAAATTAGTTGATATTATTGACAAACCACATGATTCCTCAAAAGACCAACCCACAAATTCACAGAAAAGCGTTGCTGAAATGCCCTGGGAATTAAAACATTTGGATTTTACTTAAGAAGTTACTGAAATCAATAAAATTTCCGGCAGCAAAAATGCTAATTTTTCATAATAAATACAATCATCGCAACATTCTTCCGGATATTTTAATGAAAAAGCAGCCAATGGGTTATAGTAAGCTCGTGTGAGTGGAAGGAAACAATAATAAATTGTAATTTGCAAAATTTTGAGGTTAGAATTTCTCTACTGGTCAAAAATGCCTAAATACGAGAATAAATAACTAGGTACAATTTTCAGGTAAAATTAGTAACCTGTTTTATTTAAGCACAATTTCTTATAAAAAGTACATTTTCTGTTAATTTTGCATTAAAGTAAATAAAGAAACTTGCGTGTTTTTCTGGTCTCTCACTCACTTACTTCTTTATTTCAAAAGGATAATGCGTTAGTTTTCAAGCTCTAAAATTTATACATCGACTTGTTAATTTGTATCAGATCGAAGAAGAAGTTGAGAAGGAACAATACCTGTGAAGAAAATTTAGAGAAGTCGGTTCATCGGAAATTTCCAGAATGTTTGGGAATCGAGTTTTCAAAATAATTTTTGATAATTGTTGATAATAATTAACGATTTTGTCTCATTATACTCGTGTATAACCTCTTGAGCGAGAAAAATACTGGAAACTAGCAGGTTTTGTCACCCACATGACAGGTGTCAAAATTACAATAGACCAGCTATTTTTTTAAAGTTTTGCGCAAATTGGTATTATTTTTGTAACCTATAGCAACGGATAAAATGTTTCAATCACACTTTGAGGTGCCCTTATGGGATTGGTGGATTTAAGAGTCTAATAACTTTCTTATGCAATAAAAAATTACTTCTTCGGCTGCACTTTTTGTGATCTATATTGCCGCTGGCACTAGAAATTTTTCTCTGGGGCGCAAGTTCTGGCGCAGCCTGTACAATTGTAAAATTTTATGAAAATGTTATGTTTTAAAATTGAATGTTAATAGTAAAGAACTGACAAAAGACTATCACTATTTTTATATTTGTCGAAAACAACCAATTTTTTGTTATGTACTATTAGAAATTAAGTACAATTATCGATCTATTTTTA